TCGGTGACATCCACAGGTGTTTTCAATACCTGATGGAAAGCACCTGTATGAACCTCTGTTCTTCAGAGTGGTAGTCTTTAAGGGGTTGAATAATTGTGGCAATGAAGAAACCACATAAGAACCATTTACTACTGTATTACATAAACAATTGATGTCATTTTAGTTGCATTTGGGTAGTTACAACGTCCTTGTAGGATTTGATTCTGAATACAATTCCAAATGTACACTATAGTCCCTAAACCCCTTTACAGCATTGGGGGTTGAATAATTTTGGACACAACTGTATCTATCTATCTATCTATCTATCTATCTATCTCTATTCTTTAATGTGTGCAGGCATAGGAATACAAATACATGCAGACAATAAAACGGCTTTAAAAGAGTCTAAAAAAATTACAGCTACAGTTCTATAGAAAACTCTGCTCCAGGTAACTTAGAAATTGATTCATCCCATTAGTGTACTCACTGTTACCCTATTGCTCTCTGCAAATGTCACTTTTTGCTGATTAGTGACACGGCGCTCTCCCTATTACTCCTTACAAGAGGATAAAACGAGGCCAGCCGCAGAAAAGTTCAGAGACAAAGTGCGTTACGTCTTCCCATTTCTATCTTGTAACTTTTCAGTTAGCACCGCGTGGAACTAGTTAACTTTCACTTGAAGGGCCCTGAAATATTGATGAATAAATTAGAATACAGGATAGCAGGCTTTGTGAAATCTATTTTAACAAAAACCCAAGAAAGCCTGCCTGTATGATAATTCACGACCCAAGATTTTCTTTTGACTCCTCTTGAGAGCGCTAACACTGTACAATGAGGAGCAATCATTATAAATTCTTTTAGCTCCCTTTTGTCAAAACAGTAATGCTTCCGGACCGTCTTTGACTTTTTATATGCATGTGTGCTGTGAAATTCCATAGGAATCACTCAGCAATGGGTAATTGCTGAATCTTCGCTGCACGGCGACCGCGTCTAGGCCTTATCTCTCAGACATTTTGTTATGTAAATAGCGATTCTCCCATTGTACTGCACAATTGGGGCAATAGCATTGAAGAGATAGTTTCAGCGATGAAAAAGTATGGCTCCGTAAAAAAAAAAAAAAAAAAAAAAAGACGTTTTACTGAAAGTTTGCCATCTTTGCCCGCAAACATATGCAAAGACTCCCACATGAACTGAAACAGTCAGCGGCATTGTTTTATACTGTTTGCACTTTAACTGCAATAAGATAAATGCACCCAATTATACGAGCTAGACATGTGGTATAGCATATGTGCTGATAACCTAAAACAGAGATTGGAATGTACTTTGCCAGATAACCGACATTGTTTTACATACAAACGGATTAAATTTCCAGTGTGCTATCGGAGATTCTTCAACCTACTTTTAAAACATCTGGCACATTATCAAATGAGGTTAAGAGAGGCATTTTATGCCTGGGAAAGCCCTCTATCCCTGGAAACAGAAGAAACCGGCAAACTCAATCAATACCGAGTATGATAATAATACACAGTCGCTTATCTAACAGATCTCATAATTACAGACTGGAATCCTTAAAAAAAATTTTCAGTCGCGCTGCCTGAGGCTTAAGCTGAGTTCCAATTTTAATCTTTTTCAATTGCTCAGAACATCAATACCAGAACCAATATTGGGAAGAAGGATCAAAACCATGTTGGGGCTGTGAAATTGGGATTTGTTTATTTATGTAAAATGTGTTTTTATTGCTATAGAGAATTTTTCAAGAAGTACTTGTTAAAAAGTATGTAGGGAATCTGTGATATTTGTGTAGCACCCTCCTAGATAGGTGTTAGGTTTAGATAGATAGATTTAGTGTGTGTTTTGATAAATTTAAAATTTAGTTGCCACACTGTAGTGTGGTTGTGATTGTTGTTAGGTGAAAGCGTAATTTGCACACTGTAATCAGTGCTACTGTGTTCTGCTAGTCAGGTCTGCTCAGTATGTGTTCAGCTACTGCCAGCCTGATAGCTCCCTCTGCGTCCAGAAAGCTTGAGATGTTTCTGGATGATAGGTGTGGAGCTATGCAGATGGCAGCATGAATATTGATAATGGCCCTGGACTATCCCAGACAGGCAGGCTCCTATGGCATGCTGGGTAACTGTATATATTCAGTGAGCTCTGGGTCTTTTCCTGTATAGGATTGTTCTAGCCTGGAGGGGGCATGCTGCCTTCCCCAGGCAATGCTGCTGCATCTGTTGTTGTAGGCCTCAGGTAGGCGACTTGAGGGCCTAAATGCTAAAGCTGACTGAGGGTTTTTTACTGAAGACTTGGGATATCTATTGAAGACATGGGTTGGTTTCATAGAGTAAGGCAACCAGCTGTCCTTGGGCCTTGTACAGATACTCCGAAAGGATCTTAGAGACTTTGTACTGCCAAAACCGCTCTGGTGCTAGGAAGTCAGCTCTAGTTCAGGGGTCTAGTTAAAGGAGACACCAGCTGGTGTCCTGAAGAGCTTTTTTCACTTAATCTCCTACTTGAAAGGACTCTGCTCTAGTTTCCTACTACTACTACTACCTTAAAGCTGAAGTCTACTGTTTGTTTCAAGCACAGACTTTGTTATAGCTTATCCTGAAGAATACCTAGGTCCTCAAGTGTTCTTGTCTTTTGGGGTAACCCACTTAATTCCCTCAACCCTATCCACGTTATCCAAAAATAAAAACAACAAAAACAATCCTCAACTGGTCATTGAAGAAAAGTGTGAATGATCCTGTATGCCTGACTGAGGGGAAAAGATTGTGGGAAACTTGGACAGTATTCCTGTGGCTCCTATGGGAGTAGCGCTACATTTTTAAAGAGTGTGTGTGTAACTGGTACTCCTGAATATGATGCTATGGAACCAGAACTTTTTGGGTGTCTATTTAGCATACTTATCTGTGTAAGCTGACCTTCAAGATTCCCATGTAGCTCTATGCCTTGAAAGCTGGTCAGGAGGATTCCTCTCCTCCATTCTAATGAAGCACGGATCTCCAAACTTTCTGAACAAAGGGCCAGTTCTCTCTCCTTCAGACTTTGAGATGGCCGGACTCTGGCCAGTGAGAGTAGAAAATACCATGGCATCAATGGGAGTAAAGAATGCCCCTTCATTGCTATTAGTGGGAGGAATATTGCCCCATTGTTGGTATTAGAGGAGGAAATAGTGCATCATGATTGGGTCATTGGAAGGAATAACGCCCCATTGTTGGTATCAGGAGAAGGAACAGTGTCCCATCATTGGTGTCAGTGGGAAGAATAGGGCCCTGTAGTTGGTGTCAGTGGGAGGAATAGTGTCCCATTATTGGAGTCAGGAGGAAGAATAGTGCCCTATTTTTGGTATCAGTGACAGGAATTATGCCCCATTGCTGGTGTAGAAGGAATAGTGCGCTGTATCAGTGGGGGGAATAGTGTCCCAACGACCTGATAAAGACAAGCAAAGGGCCACATCTGGCCCTTGGGCTGCAATTTGCAGACCACTGTTTGCATAAAGTGCACGACTCTTCCTGGTCAACTTTCATGTCCACCACAAACATTTTCTGGTCAGGTACCAATGTCAATACACTTTCTGGATCTGTTTCTCTGCCTAGGTAAAACCAGTAAGGCCCATAGCTACACAGAGCTCAAACCTGTCATTCTGCTCTTTACACCACTCGGCAGCGGTGATGGGGTCCATCATGGTGGCTTGGCTGGTGGAGGCAGTAGAGGCAATAGAAGGGGGTTGCAGTGAATCTTCAGGACAGTGTCAGGTAGAAAGTGAGTATTTCAGTTTATATTTTAAGATGCCCAGGGCAAAGGATTTTTTTCTCAAATCTCAAAGAGGTCTATCCTATGGCTATTTTTCTCAATGATACTTAAGCTGTACCCTCCGCCATTTGTGCCCACTCCATACCACAGGCCTCCTTCTGCCACTACCAGCCATTGACCTTTATATCCCCAAAGGAAGGAATGCCCACACATAAATAGAATTGCTGCACTTTATTGGTGATACTTGGAAAATGGCATACACAGTCACATCATATCGACATACTATCCAGGGTCACTTGACAGTACATAGTCAATCACATTTAGTGGATGGTCCGCAGTAGTCACATGTGAAAGCATCATGCAGTACTTTAAGTCAGCCTTCCTCCCCTAACAGTCTCTCTCCACCTGGGGTCATTATTATTTACTGCAATGGGATATCTGCAGTTATCTCCTTCAAATGTACATTTTTCCCGGGACCCTCTAGGGGAGTAGCCTCATTCGGGGGACTCTTAGACAGGCCTGAAAAACCTTTTGTAACCTGTCCTAGCCCCCACCTCCATAAGGGTCAAAGGTCCACAGCTGGCTTCCCTGGGTGTAGGTCTACCCCTCCGCAGCCTTCAGCTCTGTACAGAGACTACACTTTCTGGCTACATATGCTTAGATGTGGGGTGTTTGGCTCCCATGCCCCTGCTGCCCAAGGCTCCTCCCAACCTGGCTTATATGTGGGCACTGACTCACCCATTACATCCCTACAGGAGGGCTCTAAATAAAAAGGGAGTGACACTATCTTCTGTAACCAGGCACTATGCTGGAACAGAACCACCTAGTGGCAGACTAGTTAACTGCACCTGCCTACAATCCTGCAAAACGGCATGTCCATATATTCTGTGCAAGTGCAGTAAAATCGAATGGTAATAGGTTATTTTTTCTCCAGGTTGGATGTTCTTCAATCAAAAGAATACCTTAAAACTGTAAAATATTGAGATCAGAATCAAGGCCACTAGATTGTGGCGATGATCACAGGAGATATATTACTTATTTACCACTATGGTCATCTGACCTGGAAAGAAAACAACCTAGTAATATTAAATTTTGCTGACATTTGCAAAAATGAATGCAGTTCTATGGGAAGAGTAGCCCTACAATTTTTTTTCTATAAATACTCATGTGTAAACTTTTCCAGAGGGATACAGGGAGGTTGCCATTGCTGAACTTCATAGTATAACAGTATACACTATATTGCCAAAAGTATTGGGACGCCCCTCAAAATCATTGGTTTCAGGTGTTCCAATCACCTCCATGGCCACAGATGTATAAAATCAAGCACCTAGGCATGCAGACTGCTTCTACAAACATTTGTGAAAGAATGGGTCGCTCTCAAGAGCTCAGTGAATTCAAGCGTGGTACCGTGATAGGTTGCCACCTGTGCAATAAGTCCATCCACGAAATTTTCTTGCTACTAAATATTCCACAGTCAACTGTTAGTGGAATTATAACAAAGTGGAAGCAACTGGGAACAACAGCAACTCAGCCACGAAGTGGTAGGCCACATAAAATGATGTGAAGTGCAGAAGTCGCTTACTGTCTGACCCCACTCTTTCATTTTAAGTGGCCTACCACCTCGTGGCTGAGTTGCTGTTGTTCCCAGTTGCTTCCACTTTGTTATAATAGCACTAACAGTAGACCGTGGATATTTAGTAGCAAGAAAATTTCATGGATGGACTTATTGCACAGGTGGCAGCCTATCACGGTACCACGCTTGAATTCACTGAGCTCTTGAGAGCGACCCATTCTTTCACAAATGTTTGTAGAAGCAGTCTGCATGCCTAGGTGCTTGATTTTATACACCTGTGGCCATGGAGGTGATTGGAACACCTGAATCCAATGATTTGGAGGGGCGTCCCAATACTTTTGGCATTAGAGTGTATATACTGTATATTGCCTTATGTCCCTCCAAGAGTGCTGTAGATACCAGACTGGCACAAAACCGTTCTTAAAACATGATTTTAACTAAACTGCAGTATAAAAGCAAACAAGAAACACTGAAATCGTCCACGTTCATAATTTATTGTCCCTCTAGCTCTCACAGTGCACAATGCCATTATCCAGACAATCTCAACTTCAACAGCAAAATTAAATTAAGGTTGGTTAATCTTGTCCTATTGACCTAGGATCTTAGAAAGGTCTTATTGACCAAACCACCAGCTAGTTTGCGAGGCTTTTGAAGTGGTTAAGTCAGCTTCATTACATAACAGGACAAGGGGTGGAAACTTGAACCTCGCCTCCCCTCCCTCCTCTGACTCTGGCTGTCATTCTATGAAGGCAGGATCTGCCATATGGGAAGCCTTGGCTGGACCAGGCACACAGGGTAGCATCATGGCTCTGATAATTGGAGTAAACATTTGCTTGTGGTTTCCCAGCTAATTTGCCTTTGTTTTCCTTGGCTCCTCTGCAGGCGATGTGACAAAAGAAGCTCATCTAATCCAATGATTGCTCTGACCATTCTGACTGGCTTATAACAGAAGAAGCTAGTTGCTCTATAGCTCCAGTCATGGCTATTATTATTATTATGCAGGATTTATATCCTTTACAAAATGAAATGAGGTGGTACAGTTACAAACCACTTCAAAACATGAGAGTGAGATGAACCCTGCTTGTGCTTTTTTAAATGTTAAAGCGGTATTAAACCCAAAACAAGAAATGTATTCTATTGCAGCTTACCAGTCATTAGATGTGGTGACTGCTTTAGTTTTATTTTTTTAGCCTTTTTAACTCTGTTTTTACCTCGTGAACTGGCCAGTACCACACCTCCTGTATTAGTTCCCTACACTTTGGATGAAAGAGCAAGAGACAACTTTGAACAACAGCATTGTCAGTCTGGGGGAAGGAGAGTGTTAGATGTATTATCAGATTTAGATACACTAACAAATCAAAGCTAAACCTCAGCTAACCCTTTACCCATTAACAGCAACACAAAATCTGCTGCTTCTAAGCCCCCTATGTGACAACAGAGCTTGCAGAGAGCCATATGAGGGTCAGCATGGCACAACTATTGTGCAATAGTGCAAAGCTTGCTTATAAATTTAGCAAAGAAAGCTGTCTCTATTGCATGCACAGATATATTTACAAGCTACACATCGAAAATATATTAAAACACTAACACATATTAGTAAGAGGATTTACATGATCCAGAAGCATTGCAATGATAAAAGAGAAACTCCACTTTGTTGTGCAAAAAAACCCCTTGAGATTGGTTAAATACATAAACCATATATAATTTCAGTGGTAATTCCCGACTGCTTTTGTTTTGTCATTGTTTAACCCCTTCACGACGGCGCTTCCCAGCCCTTTAAGAATTTCAGAAGCCGGGAGGCGGGACGGGCAGGGTTTATGCATGTGACCGTCGTGACACGTCGTCATGGAGGTCACATGATCGGGAAAGGTCCCGATCAAAAGAGGAGATTGGGACCTTTCCATGAGTACCGGACATGTGTGCTGGGAACGTGCAGGGCGCACGCTCTCAGCACATATTATTTTTATTAGAACACAAATGTGCGGACACTCGGCGCCTAGGTTCAGACGCCGGGAGGCCGCACATTTGTGTGTGGCCGGCATGAAGAGGTTAAAATAGGCCACATTGGCGAATTCCCTGATAGTGACTGTTTGCCTCCTATAATCAGATACTCAGTTGCAGCACTGTAATAAGAAATATTGCACACCCAGCATTGCTGCAGATGTGCTGCTCCTGTCGCAATCATGTGACCAAATTGATAAAGATAACATGCTTATTGCAGTAAACATAAGGTCATTGCTGGAGTAGCCTGAAATTTTACTACAAATGTAGCGCTACCACCGAAGGAGCCGCTTAGTGATTTTGCTTTTCTGCTCTGCGTCCTGACTCTGTGAACAATCTCATCCCGTCTGATACATCTGGTTTAGTGAAAGTTACTGCCAGCACAAGTGTGGATAACTTTAACTTTACTGTGAATTAGTATTAGGAAATAGACGCAAGACTGTTCAGTTATAAATTAACTCAATGTATTGGTATGGGTTAGAGTAAATGGTGGTTTGAGCATAAATGAGCATACAGAAGGTAGGTTTAGACACAGTCTGCTAGACAGTATAATCACTATTCCAAAGTAACTTAGAATAGAGTTCTGTACAACTAGACTGGAATCAACGCATAAATCAGCAAAGTCAGCAATAAACAGGGCATATCAGCATTAACTGCATTGTGAATAGTAATACTATAACTAGTCTAGAATGCACTCTTGGAGAATGGCCAGGATATGGTGCAATGTCCCCTGAGAGGTACCTCTTAGCATAGGCAATAAGTAAAGATCTCTGTGTAGCAGCTGTAAAGGGCCAGTCTGCTGTTCTAACTCTTCAGCCGGCTAGTGTGGTGCCCAATTGTACTGTTGGTGCACATCAGACTAGTCCCAGTCAAGCCTGCAGGCAGCATTGATGCTACTAGATGGCTATATGATCAGTTCTTAAAGGGCTCAGTCTCTCTAGCAGCAGATTGCAAATCCCCACAACAGCAACTCACCAGTTCCAGTGATATTACAGTTCATTATGCACACACAGCAATTAGTACACTCTGTGCACCCAGGTGATGGGGCAATCTGGTTGTCAGCACCCCAAACTCTGGACAATCATGTGCACTTTCTGGCCCTCATCATGGCAAAAATGAAGCTGTGTCCAGTACAGCCTGAGAAAATGCAGCTCTTTCCCTTCCTCCTGGCAATCTCTTTCTGGGAAATGCAGTACAAAAGTTCTTGATTACTGTAGAGTCTCTCTCTGGACTACAGTTCCCACTGTGCAGTGCTTCCTGACTCAGTCTATTGAACTCTTCCTGCTCAGCAGCTTCCTTCTCTTACTGATACAGCTGATTCACTGATACAGGGCAGCAGCCACAGAGAGCAGCTGCAGCCAGTATTTCTCTCACTCTCCACTCCTAGCCAAGCACCACATACACAAGCATAAAAGCAACAGCAGCAAACCAACTACATGAGCAGGGGGATTGTATTTCAATAAAAATCTACTCATTAAAATTGTACAGTTGCCATTGGTTCAAGGAAGAGAAATTTGAACAAACTTGACATTTGATAGGCACTGGGTTGCTGGGGATTGGATTAAGGTGGCCATACAAGGCTCCCGATGAATTGACCCTGTCGGCACCCACTGGCTCAACAGACTTCAATTGAAAGAACAAAGAGCCGTGTGGAACTTTGTCAGGTGAACATAACTGCATCCAATCAGATACAGTCACTGTTCGGATATTCAGACAGCCGCGATTGTTGTGGCTGTCCGAATACAAAAGCTGATAGCAGAGAACTAATCAACACCTGAGGCCCATAAGAATGGTGATCCAGATGGTGGGCACACATGTCTGGGGTAACTTTCCCGGCTACTGCCACTGACAGACCCTCTGTCAGTAAACCATCACTCCTGAACTGAACCAGTCCATAATTTTCTTATTCTTCAGGGTCTTGGCTGTGTCATTGCATCTCATAAAGACTTTATGACCAGTCTAGCATATTCATTAGCAACATCACTTACCATGCCTGACTGCTTAAAGATTTCTACCCACGTGACTGTAATGATAGGACCTTCTAGCTACACACACAAATCCAGTCTATGCATTCTATCTTCTCTGTAAGTTGGCCTAGGAGAACATGCCACCGCCTAACAATAGTGATTGCCAATAACTGTAGGCCATGTTTCTCTTATCCTATCCTAGAGCAGCAGTGTTAACCTCAGTCAGAAGCACCACAGAATGGTGTCCAAGGCCTTCATTTATAAATTACAGGCCTGGACCAGTAAACAAAATATCTGCAAAATGCATGTCTTGGGGGTGTCTCGATCACAGATCTAGCCATGCATGGAGGACCATTAGTATCTCTTTCCCTCTTTAAGAATACAAAAAACACTGGCATGGCTGATTAAGCATTATAAGATCATTTTGGGTGCCCGACAAAGACAATTAATGTTAGCACATTATGATGCTCATTTCATAGCTAGCTAGATATAGCAGACTCCAATTTTAGTTTTGGGCTTGAATGACCCTAAGGACACCAACAGACCTGCCCTCCCATTTCAAACAACAATATGCAAATTTTGACAACTCCTCCTCCAACCTAGCAATGATATGTCTTCCATCCACTGATAATGACTTCTAAAATGGTTGGATGACCTCCAACCCCCCCATCCTATTTTTCCATCAGCTCAAAATCAAGGAAGAAAAAAAAAACAGGAGAGTGTCAACATCTCCATGATTGCAGAAATGGAAACTCATCCTCAAGGTGAAATTTTCAGCGAGGCTGAGTCACTTTCATTCAAGGAGACAAGCCTAACATCAGCCCCCGCACCATAGCTCGCTCCATGCTCCCTTCTCCTATTGCATTTAAATTTACTCCACTTTTCCTTCCTGACACCTGTTTAAATCAATATCTTCCTCTCCAGGTCGCGAGCCGAATGTGCTGGTGCTCTCCGCACAGTGCTTCTCAAATCCACTAAAATCAACACAATAATTGAAATATTTTCAAGCTGATTACACTGCAGCCGGAGGCTAGTCTGGTTGCTAAGGGTAAGCTCCCTGGTTGCTAGGGGGAGTAAATCATCTTGCATTATTTGATTTTTTGTTATAGATATGAAACCGCTACTCCCTCGATTAAATGTCTCTCAGTCTAACACCTATGGGACCTGGGGAGAGAAGGAAAGAAAAGCATCAACCTTGACCCTGTCAAATAAATATCTCTAACTTTTTCTGTCCTCCGGCTTCAAACCCAAACCTGTCTCTCTCTCTCTATATATATTTTTTAACCTGACTTTAAATAACAAAGCTGTAGGGAAAAGCAGATAAGAAGGAGGGGAAGAAAGAATAAAGTCTAGTACAGGTTTTCACAACATGGCTAAAAGCATGAAATGTATACTATTAGTGTTTGCGTTAATATACAGCTTGTTGCAAGACGTGGCAAGGGGAAAGACAGCGGCAAAGTCTGAGGATTACTCTGACACTTTTTAGTAAATGCAATTAATTAACATATGACCGTAATAAATGGCAAGAGAGTCTTCGATTTAAAAGTCAATGTTGTCTTATAGACAACATTAGCAATTTGTGGTGGCTGGTCCGTAATCTGAGATATACTCTATCTATCTATCTATCTATCTATCTATATACATACACACACACTATATTGCCAAAAGTATTGGGACACCCCCAGGGGCTGACTGACAACTCATGGGGCCCCCCGGGCAATAGGGGATCATGGGGCCCCTCTGTCCTTGCCCAAACACAAAAAAACCTACGAAAAAGGTACTAGGGGCATCTCATGGGGTCCCCTATTGGCCTCGGGCAGCGCCAGAGTTTCCAAATGGTCAGTCCGCCCCTGGACACCCCTCCAAATCATTGGATTCGGGTGTTCAATCACCTCCATGACCACAGGTGTATAAAATCAAGCACCTAGGCATGCAGACTGCTTCTACAAACATTTGTGAAAGAATGAGTCGCTTGCAGGAGCTCAGTGAATTCAAGCGTGGTACCGTGATAGGTTGCCACCTGTGCAGTAAGTCCATCCTTGAAATTTCCTTGCTACTAAATATTCCACATCAACTCTTAGTGGTATTAAAATAATGTGGAAGCAACTGGGAACAACAGCCACAAAGTGGTAGGCCACCTAAAATGGCAGAGTGGTGCGCAGAAGTCGGAAACTGTCTACAGAGTCAATAGCTAAAGACCTCAAACCTTAATGTGGCCTTCAGATTAGCACAACAGTGCATAGAAAGCTTCATGGTATGGGTTTCCATGGCTGAGCAGCTGCATCCAAGCCTTATATCACCAAGTGCAATGCAAAGCATCAAATGCAGTGGTGTAAAGCATGCCGCCACTGGACTCTAGAGCAGTGGAGTGTTCTCTGGAGTGACCAATCATGCCTCTTTTTCTGTAAATCTGATGGACGTGTCTGGGTTTGGCATTGTGCCAAGTGTAAAGTTTGGTGGAGGGGGGATTATGGCGCGGGGTTGTTCTTCAGGGGTTGGGCTTGGCCCCTTATTTCCAGTGAAGGGAACTCTTAAGGCATCAGCATACCAAGACATTTTGGACAATTTCATGCTCCCAACTTTGTGGGAGCAGTTTGGGGATGGCCCCTTCTTGTTCGAACATGACTGCGCACCTTTGCACAAAGCAAGGTCCATAAAAAAAAGACATGGATGAGTGAGTTTGGGGTGGAGGAACCTGACTGGTCTGCATAGAGTCCTGACCTCAACTTGATAGAACACCTTTGGGATGAATTAGAGCGGAGACTGCGAGCCAGGCCTTCTCATCTGACATCAGTGCCTGACCTCACACATACGCTTCTGGAAGAATGGTCAAACATTCCCATAGACACACTCCTAAACCTCATGGACAGCCTTCCCAGAAGAGTTGAAGCTGTTATAGCTGCAAAGGGTGGACCAACTCAATATTAAACCCTACGGACTAAGACTGGGATGCTATTAAAGTTCATGTGCTTATAAAGGCAGGCGTCCCAATACTTTTGCAATATAGTGTATATATAAATTATATTCCAAAAGGTAATTTGGTACATAGGGGTATACATGAACATATACATATACAACTCTATGTAATTAAATTTGGATTACAAATTTCTATTGAGCATTTTCAGAGTGCAACACGTTCCAAGATTTATATGATTAACAGCATGTAAAATGCTTTGTGTACTGCACTTGGCATATACCAAGTGGTAAATACTCAGCTCACCCTACTGTTTACTATATATATTTACAGTACATATATATATGTACAGTATACATACTGTATATATCTCATCATCATTGTAGTTATCTTAATTTAGCCCTCTCCATTTGTTAGTCTACTGTCTGTCCCATTCTAAACATATGCATCCCAATTGTTTTTTATACATTATGCTATTCTATTTTTTTTTTTTTAAAAATGTACAGGTATAGAGTTTTATGAAATTACTGTGCATTGAAATAAATTTATCTACAAGGTATAATGTACAATGCATTCAATTAAATTTTTGCTTGTTGTTACAAATATAACTAATTTTTTTCTGTTCTTAGAACTATTTGTGTGTTTTTAATTAAAACTAAAAAATGTACGCACCCCAGTGTACATCCCCTTTTAATTCTTTTGACGTATTGATCCCATCATTAACTCCTTCGTCTGGGGGTCCAGCCACCATAAATTACCCTGGCGAACTTAACAAAAAACTGGTTTTCCTTGGGGGAGCAGCTCTGCTTGACTTTAAGTTCTATTATTTAGCTTCCCAGCTTTCCCACTTTTTTACCTAGACAAGCAGGACAAACAAAGATACTTGGCCCTGGTTGGCCCCTCTTTGCCACCCATCCCCTACAGATTATACTCCGGGAAGCGCGGGGAACATGCGAACCCTGGGATTGTCATGGTATGGCTTACCACCACATAAAACTTTGGGACCTCACAGTACACAGGAAAGGGGTGCCCGCTGATCACAACCACACACGTCTCTGATGTAATGCTCAACTACTTGAACTCCTCATGATCCCAGACTGCTCTCTCTGGATTTCCAGAGGCATTTTATACACAATCTGGTATTTTATACCAGGTATTAACGGGAGCTGATCCTAAATAATTTCAGGCGTTCAAGGAGAAATTTTCCCTTCCCAATCATGTTTTTCTGCTACCTACAATTAATTCATGCCCCTTTCCCCAATCCCCCTCCTCAACTCCAGACTCTCCCTATACTGAACATAACCCTTTGGACAGATCTGAAGAAATTGATCCTAATATCCTATAATGACCTCCTTACCCCTCCGGCCACTAGGTTGGCATACCAACTCAAATCTAGATGGGAACAAGAGGTGGGGGTCATGGAGGACAAGGATTGGGCATAGATGTTGGATGCTTGTAAACAGGTATTCAGATATTGTAAACAGGTGTAATCTTTTTGTCAGTTTTTTGATACAAGATTCTTGTAATATCCGCCAGGGAACCTGTCAAATTGTATCTGTATTCCATGGCTGTAATGTTTTCCTGTTTTTTTGTTTCAATAAAACACATTTGAAAGTGAAAACTAAGAAGATCCAGACATTTGTTGGTCAGGCTGAAGTAGGGGATCATGCAATGAACAGACATGCTTTTTCATTATGGTATGGTACAAGAACTGGGTAGAGATGTTGGATGCTTGTAAACAGGTATTCCCCTAAATTTCAGATTGTCTAACACAGACATACATTGTCCACATAACATATTTGATCCCAATTCACATAACCAGTTTTCCTAAGTGCACTAGATGTTTGGATCTATAGGGACCTTCTTTCATATGCTGTGGGATTACCCTTTTATTCATGACTACAGGTCCCAAGTGGTGCTTGGGGCATCCAAGGAGTTTACAATCTAGACTCCCTAGCTCTCATAGCAGAGCCAAATAATCTACCAGCATGTGTTTGGAGTGTGAGAAGAAGTCAGATTATCTGGAGGAAACTCACACAAGCATAGGGAGAGCATGCAAACAGCATGCAGGTAGTGCCCTGATATTTCGAGGTATACATGCTAATCACTTTTCCACCATGCCTGCTCCATGCACGCAGTGATGATGAACTCACACAGAGTTTTAAAATCATTCTGACTGATATCTGCTACAGCAAAGTCACTGAGATTAAAAGAGAGCTGAACTAGGAGGCTTCTTGTGACTACCATTCATCTGAGACTATGAAGGCCACCAGAACCTTTACCTGTAGAAGAACAATTATTATTATTATTATACAGTATTTATATAGCGCCAACAGTTTGCTCAGCGCTTTACAATATAACAGGAGACGATACAGCAACAATACAGTTCAATACAAGAGGGATAGGACAATGAAACCAGATCTTTAATATGTGCATACTTCTGGTTGCATTCAATGCCAATCATATGATCGTACAACATTTGTACACTTTTCTTTAGATTTACCACAATTATGTCATTGTAGGGTCTAGTTATATAATATTTTTCAATAGTATGCCTTCAGGCAGGCCATTGCATTCATAGTTGATGAAAGATCTAAAGAAAGCTCTACAATCAGATTGTAAAGTATACTTTTTTTTTTGCACTCAGGACTAAATGAGGGGTACTAACAAATGTGTTTGCCCGTATATGTATTTTAACTGGATGCCATTTTTCTGGCCCCTTCTGGTCTCTGGAAGCTTAAAATTTCTCAAGGAACTGTTTTTTTTAATCAATGACAATAATAATAATAAAAATAATGTTTATTGTCAAAGACTCTTAGTAAGAAGACCAAGGGCATTGTGCTAAATACAGTAAGTAACTCGTATCTAGTGATTGGGGAAGGGCAGCATACAACCTAAATACACACTAGATTTCTAGGCTCCTGGAGAAGTACAGCCAAACAAGCTTTGGCTGGACTTCTCCTTTAAAGCTGAATTCCCTGCAGATATACAAGACACAAATTAAGATAGCTGTGTATTCTTTATTGTGTCATTCATTAAATGTATGTACCTGTATGTGACCTGGTATAAGCCTCCTGCAGTCCCTGTACAGGGAGTGAGAGAAAGAAGCAGTGCAAGGAGCAAGCCAACTGTGGTGCAGTATTCATGGGCCAGCAATGAACATGCTGATAGGAGGAGAATGTCGAGTGACAGCTAGGTGAATTTAACAGTCTATGAATAGCAATGTAGAAAATCTTAGCACCGCTCATGAGCCACATAGTCTAAATCAGTGGTTGTTAACCTGGGTTCGATCGAACCCCAGGGGTTCAGTGAGTCAGTCTCGCGGGTTCGGCAGAGGTGAAGACCCACACCCGACTCATATGATTCGTGCAGTAAATATTCATTATTATGTTTTTGTTTTTGTGTGAAAATCATGTTTTAATGGTTTTGTTCTTTGTTCTTAACGGTTTTGTTCATTTTGTGCACCTATGTATAAATATATACCTATGTTTTGAATTTTAAAAATCATATTTTATTTTTCCAATTAAGAAGGGTTTGGTGAATGCGCATATGAAACTGGTGGGGTTCAGTACCTCCAACAAGGTTAAGAACCACTGGTCTAAATAGTCACCTCGCCGGCATGGCAGGGGAACAGCATCCACATTAAAATCCAGATTCTGTTGAAGGAGAGAGAGAAAAGGGCACCGCTCGAGCCTCCCATATACTCCCGTATGTGAAAGATGGTCTCAGCTGTCACGCTGGCCGCGGTGTGGCTGGCATGACAGCCGAGGCCATCCTTCACATACGGGACTATACGAGAGTCCCCTTTTCTCTCTTTCCTTCAATAGACTCTGAGGCTTAACAGTCTGTTGCATCTCCTTTCATTATCCAATCACAGACTGGAGGCAGGGACAAGACTTGTGAGGGTTACTTAACCTCCCTAGCGGTCTGATTATGTCAATATTTCTGTGCTCAAAGCGGTACAATATTTTGCATGGAAATATGTAGTTTTTTTTATTGTAGGCCTGTAATTCTTATGAATAACTCACTGAAATCTGTCCGAAAAAGAGTCTAGTAAACATCCCGGGTATGATAAAATTTGAAACACAAAATTATAAATTATAATGTAATAAATAATCATAAAAAAATATAATAATAATAAAAAATGTAATTTAATAATGAAATCAAACCAGGCAGGCAGAGCACAGGACAAAGCACTCGGGACAAAATGTATGTGAAATGGTTTGATACAGTAATGTTATACTATGTGATTTTAGTGTATTGAGTGAAGGTCACTTTTAACATTTTTGAATTGCCCGCCGGTTCCGTCCCCCGTACGTTTCGTAAGTCCCGACGCTCGCAGGGAACGGAACCTGGAAGATGGATGCCGGCATCGGCCGGAGGAGATGGCCTGGGATGCTGCAGGGGGGATATCACGGGAGTGAAAGACAAGATAAGT